AAATTTCTGAAATTGCAACCTGCAACCACCTCATAAGGCCCTAGTATAGCCCTGCTTTCCAGGTTGGCCAGAAGACATTGCATCCTTGATCTGAGAATAACTTCAGTGTCACTTGGGAAAAACTGCAAAATATATGAGAATGAAAATGGCATGGCTCCATGCCTAAAAGTGCCATTGGTTTTATTTTTCCTTTTACAGAGGTAAAAGGGACTCCCTGCTGGGACAGACGTTCATGTCAGGCCAGGCAGGGAGCTTGTTTTCTTTAAGAGCTGAGCCCAAAGTTTTCTTTATCTTACAGGCTGAATTTACAATAATCCCCTTGAAATTGTTGCAGTATACCTTCAAATGCCTTATACTTCATTGTTGCTAGAAGGAAGTTGCTAAATTCTTGGCATCAGGATGCAATTCCATGTACAGTTTACACCTAAATCTGTGCTGCCATCTCCCTCTTCCCTTTGACCTCCTGGGTGCGCTGCTCTGCCCCTTCACCGGTGCTGTGTTGATGACCAGGTGGTCAGATCAGGGAACTGATTCGACTGAAACTAATAAAAAATTTTTAAAAGTTGATTCTTGTTGGATCGATCCCCTGTCTGCATGGTCACTGGTGTTAGAGGTGGAAAGGGTAGAAATGCAGAGTGGAGGTTGCTGCTCACTATAGCTGTATGGCTCTATGGCCTTAGATTGGCTCAGCTTGCTCATGAACACACACCACCAAGAGACTAGAAAGTCACCCTTATGCTGGAGAAAGGACTTTGCCTTCCTTCAGTGACACCCACCTCTTCTCCAACTTCCGTGACACCTTTTTTTTCCCCTTGGGAGTGTCTCTGCTACTCCTGGCTCAAGTGCTGAGCAGGGAGACACTATGCTGGGAGGACACAGTTTCTGAAGTGACGTTAGCCTGACCTTCCTCACCGTGGAAGTCTGGCCTTCCAGCACTGCATGTCTTGTTCCATGCAGCCTTTCCCCAGAGCAACTCGTCTGTGACAGCCCAGCCCAGCCAACTCCACTTTTCATCCAGCCCAGCCCACCTCTCTGAAGCCCTCAGCAAGGTGTCAGTCTTCATTAGCAGAGGGATGTGGGGCTTTTGCCAATATAATTTCCTAAGTAGCCTGGCTGAGCACACAGTCCCAGTGAAGCAAAGGCACTCCAGGACTTCCTTCAGTGTTGTGAGCTGGGGGCTTCATGCTAGCATCCCTGACCTCAGCTGGGGTAAGGGGTCCCTGAGGTCTGCCCTCCTGAGGGTTTTCTCTCAGGACAGATGCACAGAAATATCTATCTCCATTCTATGATCTGGCCCAGCTCCCTCTCTAGAGGGGATATCTGACGAAGAAGGTTCAAGGAGATCTAACTCTTCCTTACTATAAATACCCAGACATGCCAGTGGCAGAGGGAGATGCATCCATCTTAATCCTTCCCAACAGTATTAACTAGACAGATCAGGAAGAAATTAATTAAGCAAAAGAAAAAACAGACTGAATACCTGGGCTGAATACCAGGCTGAATGTCTTGACACTGAATCGCCTTATGATAGTCTCTTAGGGACATGGAGAAGGCTGTGGTACTCCTGGCATTTGAAAACAAGTGTGGAAAAGCAACAGAAAAAGCAATGGGAGAAATGTGTTGGAGCTGGAAGGTATGAACTAGAAAAGAAACAACAACCCTTCAATATCTGTGACACTGCTGGAAGAAGGATGGGTTCAGACAGCTCAGATTTTGAAAAATCCCAATAATGTAAATTCTTTAAGTACAAGACAATCTTATGAGTAAGATAAATCTCTTAGTCACTTTGCCAGCGATATCCTTCTAATCTCATCCTTCCTCAATGATGCTGCTCAGAAAGTGAAACACTGCATAAATGGGTCTGCTGCTCAGAGCAATCACTCATGCCTCCCACTCCGACCCCAGGATTAGAGAAGTCCCCTGGATTAAGGCTGTTACTATTTTGAGTCCAGGGTGAACCAGCTAAGCAAGGGCTCAAGTGAACTTTCAAGCAATTGCAAGAAAGAGAAAAAAAGAAAAGGGGAGGCAAACAGGAGGCTACCACCATCTTAGGGAAATGCGTGTCCCACACTGGTGTTGAACTGAAAGTGCTTTACAAACTGAAATGACCCACAACATATGCATGGGAAGTTAATAGTAATGCAAAAGCCAACCAAGCCAACTTTTTCTTAAAAAATAAAAATTAAATCGAACTGAAGGTGCCATTTCCATAGATGTTGAGTGCTGTGTTCAGACCCAAGGTCTGCTGAGCTGTCCCTTCCAAACCAGAGATTGGAAACAACCTGCTCAAGGTTAAAAAGTGAGCTGGGAACCAGAGACAGATCTGCTGAGCTCCAATGCCCAAGAAGCATGGTGGAGCCGTTTACACCCGAATGAGGACAGCCTCAACACCAGATCAGATTTCAGACAGACTTCAGGTCGCTTTATGGGGGTGAAAAGATCATTCTGGATGCCATGAAGAGGAAAACCATGCCTGTTCATCCCAGTTACACATAAGACCACCAACAACCATTTGCCTTTCGCTTACTGTTCCTTTGTAGCACACACACACACACACACACACGAGAACTGTTCTCAATACTACTTAGGTAGCATATATTGTAATAAAGTATGTAATCCCCTAAAATACAAAAGCTTTCCTTATAATCCATGCTTGTGTAAACCCTGACAAGTATTTCGTACATTCTTATCACATGAACAGGAAATAGTTTTAACGTCTCTGACAGACATACAAATTTTCAGAAGTGTCTGTCATGTTTACTATGTCAGTCCCTCTCACTATTTCTCTGTGGACACTCTTTTTGCTGAGGCTCTCCCCTCCCCATGGCAGAATTTCCAGCAGCAGTTCCAGTTGGATACTGGAAAACGGAAAACTCCTCAGAAGGCAGAGGAGTTTTGCTGTTAGCAGCGTCAGGCTGGACTTTCAGGGTTTTGCCAGGAGAACAGTGTCCCCATGCAGTTCCTGCCTAGGTTTGCCGAACAGCTTCTCTGGGCTTTGGTTAATTAAAATACAGTATGTCTTGCACAACTTTTGAACACTATTTCTGTAAAAGATAGACAAAGCTGCAGGCTGTCCATCACATTTTGCATGTCCCCCATGCCAAGACTATAGTTTTCTATTTGACTGTAAATCATCCATTTTAATTAATTTAAGACAATTATTATTGGGTTTTAGTGAGTCACTTTTCTCTCAGTAATTAGTAGTTGACAGTTCAACTCAGCCCCGCCCTGGTGTAACCTGGTGACTTCAAGGCTGTGTTTAAAATCTCTTTTCTCCCACACAGCAGCTCATCATAAACAATATTAATGTTCCTGCCTTGTCCACTGGAGCTGTGTTGCACTGTCATTGTCTTGAAAACTCCCAGCCAGGCCAGTAATGAGCAGTGCTTGCTGTCTGAGCACAAAAGGAACTGCCCAACAGGAGAAGAACTTGGCCAAGAAAAGGCAGCTCACCTCCCTGACCCCATTTCATTGCTATATGCTTCAAATCCTGGCTGCATCTGTCTTGCTATAAAAATGTCAGACTGTCTCTAACACTTATTTTTGCTCGCCGCTTCAACGTGGCCTTACTTGGCAACTTCTCCCATCTGTTTACTACTCTTCAATGTTGTGCATGTATTTCTAAATTGCTGCTTACTTATAATAATGCGAACACTCAGCATTTGCAGAGCACCTAGCTCTGAAGCGGTTTAGGTGTTTTATCGCCAAGCAAGGATCTCTTACAGCTTTCCTAGGAGGAGGTGAAGACTTCTAGTCCTGCTTTATTGATGGCATGAAAGGGCCCTACATATCACTACAGGTGAATCCAGGTCCAGACTATATCGAGATGTAGCAGCTACATGCACACTGGTTGTGTTCTCATATAATCAATGGAGGTCTAGTCAATGTTGACAGGGGAGCCCCAGGAGTGAGTCAGCTGGGAAAATGTAGGTGTCTAGCTCTCCAGCTCCACTGAGTGTATTGACTAGGTGCATGATTATCTACCTCAAGATGTTTCCCACTAAGAAATCATTGTATGGGCATGAGCCAAGCACTTGATTTTTTCACTGCCTGGACACCCAGTCCACATGCAGACACCTACACTGCAATACTTGCATCCAGGTGTCTGCATTCCAGAGCTGTGTCCCACCTCAGTGATGTGCCCAGGATCACAGCTTGTTTACAAAGTTCAGAGAAAAGGCTGACATCCTTGGGTTGCTCATCCTCCTTCATCCACTTGAACTGGAAGATGAACCTCCTCTAGTCAAGTTGTCACCATGGGGAACCTACTCTAAATGTGTTCTCTTAGAGCCAGTGAGCAACCCTCCACCTGGGCTGGGACCTGTTTGTTATCCAGTGACTGAGCTGCCACCTTGACTCTAAAACCTGGGGTTTGCCAATACTGATTTCTAAAGTAACTCTCATCTGAGAGGACTGTGCTTGCTGCTCAGTTCCCCACACCCTTCAGACTACTTCTTTTTCTGTAACAGAAAGGCAAACCCTGACTTCCCAGAAAGCAGAGGTGTCCCTTTTCAGGAACTCATGGAGGCAGGCCATGTGGTTTTCTTCCATATCACAGTGTGCTGTTTGCTTAGAGATCTTCTAACGTGGATTAAATACTGCCCTGACCAGGAATTTTTCTCTACCACTTGTTATTGTCCAGCAAGGGCTCACTACTCTCACAGTCACAGCCCTGACATCCCAGTGTCAGAAAGTCCTCAAGCCTAAACCAAGACTAAATTCTGAAACATCCTCATATCTTTGATCTTTCCAAGTCAGCCTGCTTTCATGACCTGGTGAACCTCATAGCTGACCAGCCAGATGGAAAGATCTTTTTCAGTGAGCAGACACAGAGAACTGGTACGGGGACTGAAAAAAACAAGACACACAGGCCTGATCTGTAGGCCACTGTGATCCAGCCTAGTCATGATACACTGTAAATCACCACACTGCACTGGACGTGCCACGCACACGCTACTGGGAGAAACAGCCACAGTGTTGATCTATGAGTACAAACGCACCAGTAACAGAGTGGTCCCCTTCCAAAGAACTGCTTTCTGCACGGGAACGTCCCTGGCTGGGGGCGCTCAACTGGTGTGTTGTGTCTCCAACCCTGCAGTGAGCTCAGCAGACCTCCAGGAAAGTGCCTTACAACAGCCTGAAACTCTGCTGCATCTGCTCAACGGCCCAGATATGCACCATGGCATCAAGCTGCCCTCTGCAGCAAAAGTTGACCCACAAGTGACCACTTAATCTCCTTCTTTATCCAATTTGGCTCAGCCACGTGGTGTCTGCCTTCCACCACACTGCCGAAAATACGTGCACAGCCAATCCCTGCCTAGCAGTGAGTGCTGGGATCAGCGCACGCTGCGGCAGTGCATGATGGCTGGCTGCTGCTTGGAAATTATGCCGATCCTCCAAAGACAGAGGGGTCAGGGAGTGTGTTAGTGGGAACCCAGGTCCCTGACCTCCATGGTCCTCCAACCACCTCATGAAAGCCCCGGAGGGTGTGCAGTCCAGAAGCAGAGAAATGCACTGAAGACACCTACCTCTGATGCTGCTGTGCACATTTCAGGAGGGAAGAAAAACAGCTCAAGGCAATGTAGACACAGTAATTTAAAAGGAAACAGATTAAAGACAGACACGTGAGTGCAGCTGTGTCCCAGCAGTTATGCCATATGCATTTATAGGTAGACAGATATCTGGTAAAAATCCCTCCCTCCCCCTGACAGAATATATATCATGGGAAAGGCTATTACTCATCCGGCAGCTCGCCCATTACATCTGAAGCTGTGTCAAAGGGTGTTCAAGCAGTCTTGACCAGGAGGACTCATGGGTTTTCTCTCACCCCTGGGAACCAAATACCACAGGGCAGCCTGAGAAAGGGGACTCAGAGCGTGTATATTTGTCCCAGACACAGTTAAGACAGGCCAAATGGCAGGGATCTAGATGGTTTTCCCAATCTCCATGTATTTGTACAGCCTCTTTTTGACTCATCAGTGTCTCCAGCTTACAAATAGCTAAGTGCCTTAGGGGCATTTACCTAGGGGTAGAGACCTTGGCCAGTACTGATGACTGGTAAGTGTATGAAAATGCAAAACGACTGTCATTATAAGTGAGTTTTGAACTCCAGGTTGTTTCATTTCCAGCTGAGCAAATTTTCTCTTATTTTACAGGATACAGAGAGAACATACTCTCTTGTGCCTAAGCACCACTCCTTGTCTCTGCAATACAACAGAACAAATAGCCTAATCAGGCCAAAATGCAGAGCATGCTGAAAAACTGGGAACATTCAGGATGTAGTTAGAGAAGGTGAAAACCTCCCCTGTAGCCTAGGAGGGCTGGTATTGCTGCTCTGATCATAGCACTTAGGGGCAGAGGATTATCTGATGAGAAAAGACAGAGTCACATTCCCTTATTGGAGAGATATCACCTGGAGAGGGATGAAATTATAAATCCTATGGAATGAGATACACAAATGGGAAAAGGCAGAACTGGGAGTGATGCAAAGAATCAAGGAGCAGATGAACATCGTTGAGCTCTTTTGGTGGTGGTGGGATCGCCTGCAGGAGCGAACGAGTGAGGCTCCATCAGGTGCAACACAACCTTGTGCTGATCAGAAAAACAGAGCACATGTTTTCCATCTTCTTCTCTCACAAGATCATCCCCCTGTGCTTTCTATTTCATCACAGAAACCCAATCTCAGTGGCCTACTCACATCTATTACAGGGAAGAATAACTGGATCCAACCCAAACAGAAAACAGAGACATGCTATGGTAGCAAACCTCCTGCCAGCTTCAGAGGAGATTGTAACATTTGCCCCATATGTTTCTGATACTCCTAAACACACACAGAGAAGCTCAGTTACACAAACTGGCACATTTGGATGCCTTGCGTTTGCAAATAATCTCTGATGTGGAGCTTCTCGGACTGCTCTGTGGAAATCCCTAAGTCTGTAGCCATCTCCACATCCCCCTTGGCTTGCCATGGCAGTAACAACTTCTGAAGAGTCTCAGCAACTTAGTTTGCTTTCCCACTGACAGACACACTTTGGCTGGCTCTGATCAAAGTTCCTCCTCTCGTTAGGTTGCACAGAATTATTTCTGACATTCTCCTCACCATACATGCTCACTTTACTGGTCTACAATCCCTCCCCCAATCACATGGCTCTCCACTCCAGTTGGGTTTGCTATAGTGATCGAGTGACACATAACGTTCTGCAGGCTTGGGAAGGAGGCACTGCCATTAGCCGATACCAAAGATGCTGGTTCAGGGTTTCCTAGGCCATACTAGGTAGCTCTACATCAACCTCCTCCATGCCTGTGCTGCCTGAAGGGCAAACACCATTATTTGGCTGGGTATGACTGCCCTGTTGTGAAGTGCCCTTGAAGGAGGCCGACTGAAATAACAGATCCTGGACTGTGATCAGTGGAGAAGACTCTAAAACTTACTGTGCAGTTCCTTGGTTTTCCTAAATGTATAGTTTCCTGAAATACTCTAATACGGCATTCAAACTTGCTAGGCTCAGCTTCTGCTGACAGATGGATCTTTTTCTTGCCTTTTTTTAAACATGGAGAACAAACACAACAGCTAAAACAGAGTTCTCAGAGCAGTGGAACCAAACAAAGTACAAGTTCCCCCTGAATTGTACCTGGGGAGTAAGGTGGCTTCTTTAATGTCTAGTAGGAGTGGACCTCTTATGACAGTTCCCCTTCATGGCATTGCAAGCCCAATGTGGGGGTATGCTCCTCCTGGCCACATATTTTTATGCAACTCGTAAGAGCTTAGGAATTCTGCAGCCTTTATTTATCAAAGATGGGTGAACTTCGCAAAGAAGTTCAAATGTCACTGACCGTATCTCACGGACTTACAAACAGAACTTACATGGACAAGTACTATTGCTTAGGAAAGTAAGCTAGAAAGAGAGAAGAGAATATTTTTCATTTTTATTAAACTATATCTCGGGACAGGTTTTGAACAGCTTTCCAGACAAACTAATTGAAGGCAGAAAGCAAGAATAGCCTGTAGAAGGAAGAATGACTGTGAGCTTCTAGAAAGCAGCAATTGTAACAGAATGCTTTTGTTTGTTACTAAGACACTAATGGCTGTTTTGGTAGTCATTAGACAACGTATAACAAATTTCTGCTATACTGCATATTTTTAAAGATTCCTAATTTTTCAAAAACTGATTTTGCAAAGTTGAAAACCTTAGTTATGGCTCTCTTTTTACTTATCCTTCTGTTCAATTTAAACAGAAACAGTTTTTGCTCAATCAAGCTTTTTGACAAACGGTATTTCTGTGAGACTCAGATTTGAAAGAGTATAACCTCTAGGAGGTTTAGTGATTATTGGATCAAGAAGTGTCCTGTCTATGACAAAAAGAAATATCTGAGCCTTTGCTATTATTAGCTCTGTTTGTTCTCATTTTTCAATCTATGGCTGGATAGCTATTTTCCCTTGGTATTTATCTGACTACCATTACAAAAATCTCAGCCCCTGTCCAAATCCACCCTGGGTTGCTAAAGCAGACATTTAATTCTATCTCTTGCACAGCTCCTCCTAAAATCACTGTAAAGGCTAAGGGGAGATCTTATTGGTGTCTTCAGCCACCTCACAGAAAGGTGCAACAAAGAGTCAGACTCTTCTTGAAGGTGTATGTTTACAAGATAAGAGGCAACAGACACAATTTGGAACACAAGAAATTCTGATTAGAAATCAGAATAAAACATTTTCACCATGGGGGAAGTCAAATCTTAGACCAGGGGTCCAGAGAGGTGAGTGAAGACATCCAGCTCTCAGCTGGACAAGGCCCAGAGAAACTTGATCTGGTTGGACCTGCTGGAGTAGGGCACTGGACAAGATGACCTCCAGAGGTCCCTGCATCCTAAATTATTCTGGGGTTGTGTGATTTTGTTTGACCTGATCGATAACACTCAGAATTATCACCTTCACCTGACGTTTGCATCACATCCCTGAGCACACCTCCAAAGGAATGAAGCTCTTGCCTGGCAACACCAAGAAAAAAGTAAGAAGAAATTTCTTGAATAGCTGCAAGATAGGAAGGACAGGGGCTCTCCTGAAGATTTTCACCTGGCTGCAAGAAGGGCAAGAAATAAATCCATAAGGACTGGGGAAGAGGATGACAATGGCAGCTTGGCCAGGTCATGGCAGTTTAGCAAGCTGGATTTTATGTAGAAGTCCTCACTGCAGGCTATGGGGGCTGTAGCAATGTTCTTCTTAGAAATGATGTAGCCATCCTGTCTAACCCAAATGTGGGTTGAATGTAGGTGACAGCATTCTGCTCTCCTATGTCAGAGAAGGTTATGAACTGTTTTTTCCTAACTAGCTGAATCCCATATGTGTTTTCCCAGGCTGAAAGTTTCTTGCTTTTAATCTGATGTGAATAAAACTGTCTTCAAACACAGAACTTTTTCCAGGAGGGAAATCTTGGCAGCCAGCCCAAAGGTTTCTGAGACTTGTTTCTAAGGATGGGCACAGTACACCGTCCTTTCTGCGACAGAAAAGACAACATTTCATACACAAGGACAGTTTCTGCTTCCCCAGATTTTCTCCTTGGGCACTGCAACAATTTCCCATTGTTGGAGATTTTAAAATCAAGATGGGATATTCCTTCTCCAGTCCTCACACAGCTATTAACCTTCAAAGGGGAATTTCATTGAGGGAACTTACTTTACTGCTATTACAGAGAGGTTCACACTAGACTAGCCCAATAACACCCTCTGGCCCTGGATCTTGTAAGAATTCACCTCTCTTCAATGTTAAGGAAATATTGGGGGGTTTTATGTCCTAAAATGTGAACTCTTTAGGGCAAGAAAAGCCTTTGCTTAACTTCTTGGTGCAATGCTTGACATACTGACAGCCTCTAAAGGTTACCACAGTATTAAAATAAAGAATGGTCTAGAGCCCAGAAGCACCCGTAACTTTACTTCTGCCTCTTGTGCAAACCCTCTCTTTAATTACTTAACTGCTATTTCTCTCAGATATAGTATTTTATTATTACCTACTTTTCTTGAATGCTCATCTGATCTGTCTTAATGTTCTTTTAATATCACTTGGAATGGGGTAATAATCTGCTTGTACTTCTCCAGCACCTTTAATCCTGACAGGTCCTAGTGTGCTTAATAAGGAGAAAAGGAAAGGGAAGGTGCTTCATTCATCAGACAGGGCAAGGTCATGCAGGTTATCAGACAGCCTGAGAAGAAGACCTGACACAACTGAAAGTGCCGGGGTGTTTGGAGGGGCAGGTTAAGCCCATAACCCTCTACTTCCAGAAAGTGCAAACCATCCTCTGAGCTTTAGTTCACCACCTGCACAAAATTGCCAGGGTAGGTGCTGATGTGATGTGGGCGAAGTGTCAGCAGGATTCCTGCGTGCCAATGCTCTGTTATGTCTTCATCAGATCCATCCATGGAGCCTTCTTGGCTCTCTCAAAGACAGGGAATTGAAGTAAAAAACTGTACAGGATCTACCTGGGTAAGGACAAGGAACACTGATGGGAGGGGAGTTGCACACAGAAATTCCCAGGGAAACCACTTCTTCCACCAAAATACCAGTTAAAGAAGTGATCTTCACAACTTGGCTTTGACTCAACTGAAGCAGGACAATGCCTGTGCGGGGAAGGTGGAGAAGAAGGGATCATGGAAATGAAGGCAAGAAATGAGGATCTGTGCAATCCAAAAGAAAGGAAACAAAGATCGCAGCACAACATTAACACACACCTGGGAAGTGAGAGGAAGCCGCTCAAGCTGAGGGTAAAGTTAATGCCCTGAGTGACAGTGCTAGCACGAAAGGAAGGCAGAAAAAAAGATGGACATGGAAGAAGATGCTGGATACAAGAAATTTCAGCTGATGCCAGAGCATTCAGTAAGAGATGTCTGTGAGACGGGAGATCTGGGGTTGGACTGAAGCAAATCAAGCCTGCAGAGCCAGCCTTAAGGGCTGACATAACGGGGCAAATGGATGAGCTGGATAAAGATGGTAAGGACAAGGAGAAAGGAGCTTTGTGGGACCCCATTAGGGGATTGTGGAGGAAATGTGAGCCACCCCATCAATTATAAAGTGATAGAAGAAGCAGAAGAAGAATGGGTGGTAGGGGCAACATTTCAGGCAGGACTGGCTGAAGGCCTGCACTTGTCAGGAAATGTTATATTCAGCCTTTCTGAGAGTGGCTTTAATTATGGGCAGAGCAGACACCTGAACTGAAGTAACGAGGAGCCCTTCTCCTCCACATGGCCGTAAGTGAGCAGTGTCAGGTCCAGCCCCAGCCATAAGTCTCCTCTCTGGCAGCCAAGGGATCCTTAAAGGCACAGCCGCTCCTCCAGCCTTTCCCTCCCAACTCTTCTCAGGAGTCAAGGCAGAAGAGCTCAAGTCATTAATCACATGGAAGACTGAATAGAGTTAATGCTTACTACATCTGAAGGCCCACCTTCAAGGTGCTGATATTACAGAGGAGAGGATTGGGAAAAAAAGAATGCAATTCAGTTGGACGAAGTATAACTCCTCCACCAAGGTAGTAATGACAACTGCACAGAGCAAGAATGGAGGAGGACTGGCCAGGAAGCAGTTCTGAAGGACATGGAGGTTATATGGGATCATGAGTTGAGTAACGATCAATAATTTTCTGCTGTTCCACAAATAAATAAATAAATAAATAAGGCAAATACCACTGTGGAATGGATGGCATCTTTCATCTGTTACAGGATTTAAAACCTTCCTGCACTGCTCAGCACTGACAAGGACTCAGCTGGAGAATTGTTTTCAACTTTAGACAGTGCATTTAAAGCAAAATACAGACCATTTGATGAGAGTCCAGAGGATAACACCAAGGATGATTAGAGGTCTAGAAAAGATGTCATAAGAGCAAAGGTACAATAGGTATTGTTTGGCCTAGAGAAGAAAGGGAGTGTCATGACCTCAGTTGTCACCTGAACTTGTAAAGTCCTCAGAGAATAAAATTTTGCTATATTTACATGCGACTACTGGACAATACCGTCAAATACTTACTGCCTGGAAAAAAAGCAAATGCTAAAAATAATCTGCTGTCCTTCTAAGGGGCAGGGCAAGAAGAAATGGGGTGCAGCAGTAAAGATGGAGACTCCAGCCATG